TATAAATTCGAAGCAATTAATTTGCTAAAGTGTATCATCATAAACTGCTATAGGAGCTATTGAACTTATGATCAGATTTTTTCTTCGTTTTTGAGAAAGAAGAAGAAAAATGATAAAAAGTGAAATAGTTGATGAATTGTATTATTTAAGTGAATATTTAAGGAAAGAAATAATTAATAATAACAGGAAATAGTATTAAAAAATTTAGTTATTTAACATAGCATTAATGAAAAAATAGTTAATTGAATAGATAAGAATAGGATAGACTGGAATAGAATAAGATGGAAATGAGAACATGTATATGATATGAAAAGGAAACAGGACATAGGATAAAAAAGGAAATGGTCAATTTTTAGAATTTATAACAATGTTAGTGAAAAAGTTATTAATAGAAGAAGATAGAACAGAATAGAACAGGATAGAATTAGGAGATGTAAATGAAATAAGAAAGAAAGAGAAAATGGAAAAAAAGGATGAAAGAAATGATAAATTTAATGTAAATTATGAGAATTTATCATAGCGTTAATAGAAAAATTATAAATAGAATAAAACAGGATAGAATAAAGATCGAATATGATAGAATAGAATAGATAGAATATAACAGAGTTAGAAAATGCGTATGATAAAGTAAGAAATGGTGAGAAGAGCAGAAGAAGGAGGTAAATGGTAAATTTAATGTAAACATTTTCGTCGAATAAACGTTTCCTACAAAAATTTCATCGTTTTTAAATTAACATTGGATACCAACCCATCATAAATGACTATTTCCATTCGATTAAATCAGAGAAGAACGAACGATTGAGAGAGAGAGAGAGAGAGAGAGAGAGAGAGAGAGAGAGAGAGAGAGAGAGAGAGAGAAGGAGAGCTGAAGGAGAAAGAAAGAGAATGAATAAGTTAAGGACAGTTCAATTAACAAATTACAGTTTAAATTTAGTTCAATTTAGAGTTCAAATTAGTTTTGCTGAACAACTAACTGAATGATCAATGATTCATTTTCGTGAAAATGCTCTCACTCATATCCCCTTTTTATTGTTCATTGATTGGTTGCAATTTTATGATTTCCTCATTGAAACTACTAAATTATCATCATCATTGGTATCCATCACATCATACTTCTTTTCCTCTTCCTCTCTCTCTCTTCCTCTCTCTTAGTTAATTCTCTTAGTAAAAAAGAGAACTAAAATCACCTTACTACTAATATCATTTCATCACAAAAAAAAACCTTTTTCCCTACACATAGAAAGAAAACAATTTTTATCCATTTTTTTCTCTGTTTCTTTTTCTTCTTTCTTTTCTCTTTCTCTCGTTCATCAACCAATATATTACCTCCAATTAAAAGAGATACGATAAGCGCAACAATAAGTGCTATCAACCATTTTTTCTCTTTCTTCTTCTTTTTTCTTTTTTTCTTCTCAATTCTTCATCAAATTTTGATTTGATAAAATTATTGGAAGACATCATGAAGCAAAATGATTGCGTAGCGAATCATTCAGATTAGCCAATCTTAATTTGCATATCATTGCAAGTTTGTTGAGAAATGCATGCTATTGCAAATTTCCCACGCTTCAAATAACTGCAAGTTTAGCTATGAAATGTTAATTATTTATAAATTGCTAAAAATTTATCTCAATTCAAATAATTACAATTTTGTTGCAAAACTGGAACAAATTTCAGTTTGAAGTAACTAACTTATGATGAATTTGCATCATAAAATGATTTTAATCGAAGTGTGGACTGATATAATAGCAGTGGTAATAGTGGTGATAAACTTTTTTACAATTTGAAATAATTGAATGATTGTGTATCGTTGATATGATTTGATTAGGAAGAAAGTGTTGCCGACATGTATGCCATTGTAATATTGTGAACTATTTTTATTAAAATGTGCAATAAGCAAGGTACTGGAAATAAGTTATCTTAGCCATTTTGAAATGTTCAAGTTTAGCAAATTATTTTTTTTTTGATCTCTTTTTTAAATGAATTCGTAATTCACTCTTTTACTGTTCAAAAATTGCACTGCCTTTTTTGTAGAAGAATGAATCAAATTAATTATTTCAGGAGAATAGAATTGAACAGATTTTCCGACTTTTAAAAATGCTGGTAAGAAATTAAAATGTTTTGTTTTTTTAACTCAAAATTTAATGCTAAATTTTAGATGAATTTTTTCGTCATAAAGTTATTTTTTAACGGATTTGTATCCTTGCATGTATAATGCACTAGCATACTTGCTTGATAAACTGCATCAGTTTTTTGATTTCGATAAAAATTAATTCTTTTCAATTATCTCTCTCTCTCATTTTTGGTTCCCGCCCTCTGCTATTTTAGTCTAAACTAGCACCAGAAAATAAGCCTTAATTTTCAGTCCTTCAAATATTTCTCTTCCATTATTAGTATTTGAGAACAGAAAACGAAACAAGCTATCATATCTTAAGCCAAGGATATGCCATTTAAATGTTGACATGAATAAATCTACGATTATAGATTAATAAAATGCTATTGAAATTGTAGTTTTAACGATTAATGCCTTTCTGTGGTCAATTTAGCCTAGCTTTCTTAAATCGCACTTTTGCTAATGCGCAAAAAGGAAGCGTCATTAATACGATCATATGGTTCCTATAATTTTGTATTGTAAAGTTGCAGTAATCAGATGAGTTTGCATTTGATAGACAGCAATAAAATCATACGCGAAGAATATTTGCCGATCAATTAAATATATTGTAGTCATCAAAAATTATTCCAGCATCAACAACAACATGAATCGCCTCCAATTCTTCTCTCTCTCTTTCCCTTTCTACTACTATTTAATATAAAATTTATAATCATTAATTAAATGAAAAATAGAAACGAATTAAAACTGAAGGTTGACCGTAATTTATCTTTCACAGTATCTTTCTTTTTCCTCTTATATATCATTTCATCTGGCAGTGATTAAATTATTTTTAGAATTAATTATCAATAACTTGTTAACATATCAAGAACCGAGTTTTTTTTTCCAGAAAATCACGGTTGGCTTTATAAATTACCCCACGAAAATAATTCAGTGATATATTTACATACAACATTAGATTCATTCTGTTCCTCATATTATGAATAAGTTTTGATTGTATCGCTTTTTTGTACTACTGTAATCATTGAAAAAGGTTAAATATAAATTTTATTAATGCATTGGAATGATGATGAGCATGTACAAAACCAGGATTGCTAATACAATAGCAAAAGAAAAAAAAACTTGAAATCTAGATTCCAAAAAATTTTGATATTTTAGCGGAAAATAATACGGAGAGATGAGGAGGATTGAAGTGTTTACATATTATAATTAATGAAATTTTAACACGAATTTGTTGCTCCTGACGAAAAGATACTATACAGATGATACATTATAAGAGAAAGATAAAAATTTGATAATTACAAATGAGATTTAAGCTAAAACATGAATAAAGAAACAGCAAAAAAAACTAGCAAAAATTGATAGTTAATTTACTTGATAGCATTTAGCAGAATCAAGCAAATTGATCATAACAAAAATTTTTTTCGGCTGCTCCTATTATCCTTTTTTTTCATTCATTTTCTCCTTTGTATTTCTCTTTTACTTTTATCTTTATTTTTTCAATTGAATAAACAACTCATGCTCATCGCTTCTTAGATCTGAAGATGAAATTCACATAATGAGGTACAAAAATTTTCAGATCGAAATATTCGGTGGAGCCATAAAGACAACATATTAAACCGTAATAGTAATAACAGCCATACTAATAATAACGTTTTGTGGCACTAATAAACATATAAGGCACGCATATATAATACATTCTTTTTTTTAAAGATGCACCGGTTTCCGCACATTTATAACCATACACAGTTCATGGAAAAACAAAAAACAAGGAAAAGAAGCAGCGGTAGATTAGCACAGAGATATTATATAGCGTTCGGACACGAAAACCTGATGACTGTAACTTAAATTAAATTAACCTCAAATATTAAAATACAATCTACGGTAGTTCCATAAAAACAACCTGGGAAATGAAAATCAAATGCTGAAGATTTCTATATATGTTTGCGAACGTGAAAGCATATGGGAACACGAAGTGGATGAGAAATTTGCTAGTTCAATCAAAGATATGCCCGAAATAAAGTGTACAAAACAAGCGTCTTGAAAACCACAACTGAAGCATTGCCTACGACTTAAATATTTCATCGGTGATATTAATTATCTGCAATTGGTTGCAATCGTCTTCCTTGGAAATCGAAATCGCAGGATTAATGAACTGATCGAAGAAGGAACAATTCAAGAACATAAGGTCAGAAGGTAGGCCAAAACCAAGATGGCACATTTATTCCGGTTGAAAAACGTCCGGAAATGACTGTTAAACAAACAGGAATAAAAGTCAAGCCATTTCATACATATCTGACAAATTTTCATGAATGTGGAAAAAATTGACAAAATGGCCATGAACCTACATCATCTCTAAACCATTTGATAGAGCTGTAGTACATTAGCAATAAGAGGTAGGTTAATAATATGAGATCTTATGAATTCCAAAAAATAAAATTTTTCTATAATTTTGTATATTATCATCAAGCTGAATATAAATTTCATTCAGTGCCAAGAGAATGAAATTTGAATCAGTATCTAAAAGTTCTAAACGACGAGTCGAACACAATTAATTCAAGAACCACGTAAGGAGCTTGCAAAAGGCACAAACTAGGGGAATTGGTAAATAATATTCAACAAAGAAAAGATTAGTTAGGATTCGAAAAAAATGATATTTAGTCTACGTAATATTCATATCAGTATACTTATAACTGTAAGAAACGCTATATTTCCTATTTCTTTTCATCTACTCCCACTAAATATGATATCGCTCTAAACGTCTACGATAATGTGCCGAAAATCATGATGTCTGGACAGTAATATTTTGGAACAGGAGAAGAAAGTTCAAATGTCAAACATGTGGCTGTTATGAACGCTTCACAACAAAATGATTCCACACAAATAAAGTATCCTAAGAATTTGTGGCTAGAGAATGAAGATTTGATGAAATTGAGCACAAGGTGTCTTGTGAACTAAACTGAGAAGCAGATGAAGACATCTGCTGAGTGTGTTCATTCAGCGCCTTTTGTTCATCATCAAAAAATGCTGCTTTTTCAATACGATGCTTCTCCTCTATTGCTTTTAGCGTTTTCTGACGCTCAGTCTCCAAAGATGCCTTCTCCTCTTCCATCTAAAATAGATGATAATGTATAAGCCTAAAGGAAAGTTTTTATCAGAAATCTATTCACTTCACCTAATTTGCGGTCACTATTCTTCATATTGCTCACATATAAGTTACCCGAGTGATCAGTGATCGGTTTTATTTCAAAAATCCCTCAATCTCGTGCAGAACTGTTCAAAAATTGAAAATGCACGGACAACTAACAAAGTCAAATCCGCTAATTCACACATAATATAAGCGTTACAACAAATATGAGTAATAAAATATAAAGTGCTGTTGATCGGCCAAACTTTCATTAGCACAAAAATGTGCATCAATGATGTTCACATTATTTCGAACAATAAGCACAGCATACCTTTTTCTCAATGACTGCTTTTCTTATTGAAGTGCGCTCAGCCAATTTTTGTTCTTCTCTTTTACAGTTCTCTTCGAGGCAACTTTTCTGTCGATTTTGAAAATCTTTGAGCATATCCATTTCTTTTTCAAGTTTTTCTTTCAAAGCTTTCAATTCGTCTTCCTAAAGAAAGCA